TTACGTTGGCTGGGACATGTGTTACGCATGTCACCAGGTAGGTTACCACGGCGAGCGATGTTCGCCGAAGCAGATACCGAGTGGAAAAAAGCCAAGGGTGGTCAAATTAAGACCTGACACGAGGGTATGAAAACCCTAACCAGGAAATCGGGTCACATAGGTCCTGTTAGGCTCCCTGGCTGGGGACCTCGGGATGATCGTAACCGATGGTTAGAGACACTGAGCGATATGGCTGGGTGTCGTAAACAGTGGCGTTCGTGCATCTCCTCAATTTCTTTCCAACTGAACTTCTCCATTTTTTTCGAATCCACTTTCAACTTTCCTTCCTTCTCCTATTCTTCATCCAAATGGGCAGCCAAAAGACAGCAACCAAAACCGGCGCACGAAAGTGCATGGTTAATGGTTGTTCAAACTGAACTGAACTGAACCGAACGATTACAAACAGCAACTACAGTTCGGTTAAGTAATTGTTCCTGTTTTTGGATATCTTCGCTGGACTTCGCACAGATCGGAACAAATAATAACGTGTGAGTGCCGTTCAATCGAGCGCACAAGGGACTGTTCTGATGGAAGCGCATAAAACAACGGGGTTTTTAAAAGTGCAAAACGACCACCCACCCCAAACCCCGAATGTGATTAGCATCACAGTGAACTGACGGACTTGATAGATTGTGCGCACAGAGTTGAACAATTGCAATTGAACTGAGCGGATGAGTGCATGTGGAGGTGCGCGGAACGGCGGAAGCGTCAGGGGAGTAAGAACAATCAGGTCAGACAAAGCATAAACAACCTAATACACATTTATGGATGAGTGTACAAGTCAGACACGAGTACCGGTCAGAACAGCACACAATGCAAGTGTACATATACAAGAGGTCATTCCGATGCACGCGCCGATCAGGCCAAGGATTGTCATTGTGTGAGCCTGAAGCATTGCGTGCACAGGTTTACGTAGCCACTAGAGAACAAGTCAGGATGAGAGAACCACACACAAGATCTAGCCCCCCCCTCCCGGTATCGGTCCGGGGGAATCGAATACAAACGGAACGGAACGAAACGTGGACAAACCAGAGAAGCAAACTTGAAAAATGCGGTAGAGATAATACAAGATGGCACCCACCCCAGAAGGAATTACAATATTGACCACCAAACCAAATTGTACAGCTTTCATACCAATTAGCTGTACAGTTGCAGTAACACGACTGGCCGGCTGAATTCTAGGAGCTATTGGTAAAATCAATCATTGGAACATTTTTTTAAAATAACCCTAATGAGGGGGGGGAGTCACGACAACGACCCATTCGCATAGTCAGGATGACTCATCATACCGGACGGTCTCTTCCGATAAGTGAAACACATGGACAAGTGGTGTGTCGATCGACTTGTATATCAAAAGGTATGTGGTACTACTCCGTAGCGGGCAAAGTAAATCACACCCCAAATTTGAGTGACGTTGAGAGGAAGGCAGTACAGTGGACTTTTGTTCAAGCCAACATGCGTGATCTGGAATAATCTGTTTTGGACGAACCATTAGGTATATACTATCCGAAGAACTTGAAAACTTCTTTAGCCAACAAGCCAAACCGTTATTCGAAATCGATCACAACTCACCACTAGGAGCAGAAACGCCCTGTGACGCCGTACTGCTTTTATGCGAGAAGTTCGTACTAGCCAGAAACAAGGTCAAAACCGGACAGCGTGGTTAAAGATGGGTAGTAGGTCATTTTTTGGTGTTTTATAGAGAACCGTGATGTGCGTACGTGACCAGCTTAGGCACAAAGTGCAGATTCAAGCCCCCAGAAAGTGTGATTATGGCGCAATGGTTTAGTCACTCATTGGTGAGCCTTGGACCATTGGTCCGAGCTCCGCCACCGACAGCCAAATTTGTTGTCGTCAGGTTCAATAACAAGCTTATCCCAAGGGGAGGGGGGCTCATGTGGCTTGCCCCTCCAAGCCCCGGGGGCTTAGGTTACCGGTTTCCATGACTGAACAGCAGGTCCTCGTGACTTTGGGGTCCACCTCGTCTGTTGCCCAACACACAAGTGCGTGTTATAAAAAAAAGACATGCAAGCGGTCCTGAAGAAATGTGTACTTCACATTTAGCAGTTTGCCGTCTGTCACCATCCGCACAAGAATAAAATAGAAAACCATTGGGTCAGTTATAACTGACCGCATAGAATGGTTCAGTCCTGTACTTAACAGAGCAGTTATTACTTCGAAATAGAAATGGTCAAATTTGAAAAGGCACAAATCGAAATTTTTGTCCTGTGGGTAAGTTGGCAACTAGTTCTGGTGCACACGCGCATTTTCTCCCATTCTCTCTTTACTCTGAGCGCTACAATGCTGTCTCTCGTCTCCCGGATTGGAGTGTAAAAGACTCCGTAACCACATGGTCGGGAACACTGGAGATCATGGCTGCATGGCGATCTTGCTGTCACTTCTTATCAGACCAGAAAGCTTGAAACAGTATGCATGCACAGTTGAACTGTGTACTCTGTGTGTTGACCATCAAGATCGCTTTCTTTTCCCGTCCCCAAAAACAGGTTCAATCCATGTCCTCCTTACACCTTCTCACTTACTTTGTATGAAGTATGAGTTTGGTCGCGATCAGTGAAATTCCCTTACCTATATTACGCTGTACAATAATGAATGATGATCAAGTAAGCACCGGTAAGAGGGCCAACAGACAGGCATTTACATATCTTAGAATCAATTACATGTACAATTGACTCTAAAAAGAAGCGCTCTGCAGGAAACTTAGCGTCATCCTGATATCAGTGGGACCGGGTGCCA